CACCGGTACCACTTACGACGCCGCCGCCGCCACCGCCGCCGCCGCCGCCGCCGCCGCCGCCAGCGCCACCGTTTCCGCCGCCGGACGATTTGTACGCTTTGGGCTTCCGGTGGTAAATGCTCTTGTGGTTGTTGAGGCTGTTGAGCGTGCGGAACACTTTGTTGCACACGTTGCAGACGGCCGAGTGCAGAGGCTGGTTGTGCTGCTGTTCGATGTGCCGCTTCAACGTCAACCTGGTGCTCAGGCGCTTGCCGCATACGAAACAGGACAGCGTCTCCGCGCCCCCGCCGCCAACTCCTCCACCAGCCTCTGACCAGTCTGCAGCACAATAATAACAGCCGGTCACTCCTTTTGTATTTTTTTTTTTTTTTTCTCCATAATAATATTTATACGCGCGTAATGCACACGTATAAATATATATATATATATATATATTCAAGAATTATATATTTAAATAAATTTATATATATATATATGTATACACGTATAAGAATCGTATTTACTGCACGCACGTATCATGGTCGTAACATTACGCGTATACATAGCAACTATTCGTTTTTTATGTTGGTAAAAAAATTCGTAAAACATATATGTACGTTTGTCTCGGAACAGTAGAGGGGCGGTGCGTTCGTCACTTTTAAGAATGGAAAGTCCGACGGCAAGTTCGTCATTACGGTCCCGCGGAGCGAGGGTTGGTAGCGGCTGGCGGCCGGGGGGCGACGGGGGAGAGGGAAAGAAACGATTAGGGTTTTTCTTTTTACGTACATATACATATATACATACATATATACATCTACGGAAAAAAAAACAATAAATATTTTCAAACGTTTCGTAACAGATCACAGTAGTGTAAACAGAGTAGTTTTATAATAATAGTAATAAAATAATTGTTACGGTAAAAATACAAAAATGTTGTGCGTTAATATTAAGTAGTATATTATATTTACGTTGGGAGATCGATCTCAATCGCGATCCGGAATAATATATTAGACATGGATAAAAAAAAAAAAAAAAAAAAAAACGATAACATTAATCTGCATATTTATATATATATATATAGTAGAGTAAATATGATATATAAAAAATAACATACATATTTTTATTACGATTAGTATAATTACCAGGGCTTGGGAGTTAAGCATTTGCTTATTTTTATGGATTGACCTAAAATGTAGCAGAGTGCTAAAGAAGTGTATATCAAGTTATAACACGCACAATTATGAAATTTTAAAGTGCTTTTTTTTTGCTTTTTTCAGCAATTTTTAAAAAAAATGCTTATTTTCAGTTTTTCTGATTATTTTTGCTCATTTGACCAGTTCTTTTTTACGTTTTTATAATTTTCTCCTACAAAGTTGTTTTTGATAGAACTAAAATTAATTCTAATATACGTTGTCACGTAGTTCGTCGTTATCCAAGGAATCAATGTAGGGTTAACAAAGATATTCCAATGTTGAAAATAGAACTGAGTGTCAAACGTCAGAATGATCAAGATCAGAGAAAACAGTTTACATTTTATTTTTCAGAAAAATTCCTTAGAAGATCTATAAAATCCTTAAAGTCTTGAAAGTGAAGATTTATTTTTATTTTGTTTGATTTTTTAGTTAGAATTTTACAGTTTTTTTTTTTTAAAAAAAATAAATATTTTTGTTTAATTTAAATTTTTTCAAATGCTTATTTTAGTACTTATAATAATATAAGCTTATTTTAATGATTTTAAGTGCTATAAGTTCCGAGCCCTGATAATTACTATTGTTATTATTATTATCGTTATGTAATAAAATTTAAAATTATTCTAAACGCGCATAGGATTTAGTTGTTTTGTCGGCGTAGTGAGAATATCTGAAAAATAATCCTTAGAATAAAATGCGCATTATATATGCGAATAATTTTTTTTATATTTCGGAATGTTTCTTAGTCGTTAATCACACAATATTGTAGAGTTAAATCTGCACAAGGTTTTTCCTATTTTTTTTTTGTCAATACAATTTTAAATTGTGTACGTTAGTTTTTTTAAGATCACTGTAGGTCAACGATCTTTATTTTTATTTTTTACGTTCGTGAGCCACACTGATATTTGGTCAAAAACAAATTAGTTCGAAATAGACAACAATATAATACCGGAATTGCCACTATGTATATAGTTTAGCTAACAAGTCTACTCCAACTATGTAAATAGCGAGGTTCGCCTTTCCACTTTTTATTTTAAATTTCAATCTAAGTGTTAATACTAATATATTTCAAGTCGCAAACAGGTTTTAAATTTTCACTAAACAACATGAGGTTTTAAAAATTAGATTTCATTTAACAACACGACTATAAAAACGAATATGATTGAATAATGTTTCGCCATGCGTTAATAAGTTATGTAAAATTTTATTTTAGAAACTAATTATAAAGTTTAACAATTATGTAGCAACTCGTCTACATAACGTATTTGAACTCGTATTTGCCAGTAAAATAAATGACGATTTCCTTAAAATATTTTATAAACGCGTGTTCAAAAAAATTTAATTACCTTGTAATATTATCGATGATATTATATAAAATGAAAAAAACTATTATTTTTTTGTTCGATGTATAAATATTTGTCACGTTCACGATATATACTGTAATAATAATCTCAATAAAAAACAATTTCTTCAGTCAATATAATAAAAAAAAACATTTATTACTATGAAAATAAAAATGGGTTTCAGTATCATTTACGAAGTATCGATTTTTATGATAGCAATCGAATGCAACGTTGCAACATTATTAATTGGCGTAAGATGTTGAAACAGAAATTTATAGTAACTTATTAACCATAGCTTTAAACAATTTTAATTTCAACTGAATTTTATTAAACTGTTCTTAATTTGAAAAAAAAATATCTGAAAATCTATTCGGTGTTTAAGAACTACAATTCACGTGGTACCGGAGACATAACATTTTGGTTATTTCCTTACTAAAATGTAGTGAAAACTTAACAGTCAATTTTAATAATAAAAAATAAATAAATAAATAAACAATAGGGTACTTTCAACGTATTATAGTTTTGAAATTAGGTAATATTTTATGAGTATATTATGGGATTAATCTCAACGCAATTTACAGGTATAATAGTACACTAAATTAACGTCCGTATCAAACGTGCGATATCGGTCGTGAAATTGCAGTCGCGAATATGTCGTTAACCAATAAACATCATGAAATGTTATTATACGAAACCACTAAAGGTTCAAGTTTTTTTTTTTATAAAAAAAAATAAACGCAAACGAAATTCAGTACATAAGTTCTTTGGTAACAGAATCCTATTCACGGTTTACCATTACCTGAGCTTTAAATTTTGGATCCATTTATTCAAAAATACCAATTTTCTCCGTAATTCAGAAATCAGATTATCAATTTTTAAAATACGAAAAATACAAATTTACGTATTACCGCACGTGAAACCACAGTAGTTGTAATTTCGTACGCCGTACCGTTGACATGGGTATCTCATAAATATTTTTGAAAAAATGAATGAAATCTACTTGAAGTTTCAAAGAAATAATATAATGAATTTTATAAAGGCCACAGGGGTATTTTCCTCTTTCATTGTCAAGTTTGGTAAAGATTTAGTCAAGATTGGTAGGATAGGGGTGTTAGCAGTCGATTTTCTCTGTAAAGGGACGACGAACCAAAAAAGATTAAGAACCACTACGTTTAAACGCTTCGCACGTCATCGTTCATGCCAATTCCGACATGTTCGTATTTTGTAGCGATTTATTTTATCTGCATGTACGCATGTATTTGCATCACCTGCATTGCTTGCAACGCACTGATTCAGTTAAGACACAGCGTAAGTATACGATGAGAGAAGTTTCGACGAGTAAAAATAAAGTCCGATAAAAAAAATAAAAAAAACTTAATACTTTCTGTTGTGTAAGTTGGTAATGATAACTTCAAAAAGCCGATGGATGAAAAACGGTTTTTGCTTATTTGTATACGTTGTATTAGGTTTTTAAAAATGATATCATCTGTTTTGCGTATCCTCGAGTTCTCTAAAAGTGAGTCTACTCGTAATCAGTATACTTAATTGTTCTAACTTTTTTCGCTTAAGTGCCGTGTGTATAAACATCTCTATACGCACACACCCTTATAAATTTATAGTACCATAATCATACAGTTTAGTTTGATCAACAGACTCAGTATCGTTATGTTGATATTTAAATAATTTGGTGATATTCGGACGACGGACGATCATAAGGCATAAAGCGTTTATATAATAAAATGCAAATCTTAAAATAGTCGTGTAAAGAAATATCGACCTTAAGTGTTATTTATATTATAAATGCACACCGCGCATGTTACTTGTGCAGCGTTGAAACCGAACGCCCCGATATTTCGTACGGTCGTATGGCGATTGGGGAGAAGAGGAAGGCGGTGAATTGTATTGTTGATAAAAATGTTTTTCAAAAAAATGCACTCCATAAAATCTATAAACCCAATCGTTGTACACATTACAATAAATGTCATATACGAGTATATATATCCGTTCGCGTGTACATTCGCAATACGGTCGCCTCGTATCATATAAAAAATATAATATAGGTAGTGCTCGTGATATTCGTAGTAAAAACGCGAACAGTAAAAACAATAGACAAGTAAATTATTCCTACCTTGAGAACTGGAGCCTCCCAGAGTATCCATCACACTGGAGTGGTTGTGATTGTTGAGACCTGTGAACAGACACGAAACGAAAAACGTTAATACATCATTACGCACCATTGACATTACGTGTTTCGTGAACAGTAGCTTAACACGAATGTCCATCATCCCCCGTACCACCCCCACCGCAACTAGTAACGGTTCCATACGCGTACGATTTCAACGCAACTTTACGGTTGTTTTTACCCGTTTAACGGATTGACGAACTGTTAAGGAACTTTCCATGTAACAATCTACAAAGGGTTATCATTGATGCTTTTCGTCCTTCCCTGTTACCGATACAGCTTAGTGTTCCATCATACCAATATATTATTACGACTTTATTGCAGGTGGATACGTCAAATTTTTAATTTTAGATCGAGATTATCGAGATTGTCGAGTTACAATCGATTTAATGTACGGTTTTTCTCTTATGTTGGGCAATGATTTCCAGCTACTTGGTTATGCTCTGACAATGCGTTTTCAAAAACCATATTTTAACGCGTTCGGCCGTGTATTACATTAGGTAAACGAATAAGGAGGAAAATAAAACGACATGACGTGGTGTGTAGCGGAACATAACGAATTAAACAGATCCGTCGAAGCAGATTTTTTTTTTTTACTAATTGAAAAGCAATGAGTCGAATCAAAATGTAATCACGAACATACACCGTTTTATACAACAACTCGACGGGCGGAAAAGAGGCGCCTGTGTGGACCTTTGACGATTTATTACTTTCAAGTAGAATATCGTTCCGATACAAATCCGTCAGCTCGTCGCGCCAAAAATCGTCCGGGTAGAATAAACAGGGCGTGAGCGATGAACGGGAAAAACAGCGAAGGAAAACCGGACAACGAAGGCGTGTGCGCACGATGGAGATAACACGGAATCGGAATACGCATTATCTTCTGGGATGAGTTTAATCAATTGACAAGTATAAAAATCGAACAAGTGCACATATAATCATGATAATGTACATAATAATATATTGATAATAATTCGACGAGGATGAACTTAGCGCGCTCGCATCAACATTCATTGATAAGGTAAAACACACCGCCGTCGTCGTCGGTAGGACGATTATTATTGTAAAATTATCGTTTTACTGAAGATATCACGTGTAATGGATGTATTAAATTTTCCAGAGCAGACGTCGCGTGCTCGTAAAAGTTATAACAACAACTAATAAGAATAATTCTTCGATCGTCCACAAACATTTATCCTAGCATTTCTCATTTTACTGCCGAACGTAATGTAATATTTAGTGCCACTTTCCGTATTGGTACTCTTTTCCCGGATAAATACTTAATCGTCTCTGATTCACAATCCGTCTTGTTCGCCGTAGCGGATAACACCTTTTCTTCTAATCGTATTCCGACAGTACAATTTCGTCCTGTTCTTTTGTCATTGAGTCTAATGCATTCGACGTTAATTTCTCGTGATGTCCTGGCCACATTGGTATCCAGTGTAATGAAACTCCTGGCGAGCTCCATCAACAACATCCTCATGTCTAACCCACCTATATGCCTTTACACCGATTTAATTCCACTTCATCGTCAACCCACACACAAATCATGGAAACTAGAAAGGGAGAACCTGTCAGGCTCGTATGCCTCCGAGTACAAAAAAGTCTCTTCTGAAATCTATGGTCGATCCTGGGTTTTCAACATAAGTCGCTCTTTTATAGTCTTATGCTTCAGATTCAGATTGTGGCATAATTTATTAACCAATCACGCTCTCCAACTGTGAATACAGTTCATGCGATGTTCGTCCCCTACTACTCAACTGTCCAGCCTTCTCGTTTAACAGACTATACCTCAAATCAGCAATTTGCATCCTGTGGCTCCAATTTTTTTTATTTCAACGCCTTATCTTCCAACAATACATCTATAATCAATGCGTTTTACATTTCATTCTTCTATCTATTTTATAAATATTGTTGTAAATCTATTTCTGTTCTTGTTTGGTCCGTAAGCGTAGAAATACAATGATTTATGTTAGGATTTCATGAAAAAAAAAGAATAAATCTGGTTTTGCGATAGAGAAAAAAAAAATCTTATTTTATATACTGAAAAGAGGTTTGTTTAGCACGCGAAAAATACCAATAACTGTTTATACATTCATTATATGGCTAGCGGACCGGTGGTGACCCACACAAAAATAGCGAAACGGACGTTCTATTACGGGAGCATATTTTAGATGAATTTCATACAACACATCGTTTTTGTCGGCGACGGCAATGACCTAACCTCTCCGGCGCCCAATGTATGTGTGTGCGCGCGCGCGTGTGTGTGTGCGTTTGCGTGTATATTTCCTACCAGGTCAGGTATAAGGTAACCGAGCAATTTCCACCTACGGAATTCTCGGAAACCGGTCCCGGGCGTGTAAAAATAGAACAGTCTAACCTATGCGCGAGTGCGTACATCGGTACGTCTATACGGATCAAAGCCGCGACCGAAAAATTGCGCATTCGAGGGGCGAACAAGGGACAGGATCCGAAATCGTTCTAGATCGTTAACCCCGTCCCGGTCGAGGTTTAGAGGGATTTCAAAAATTGTATGCGACTGATGATTTCTCTTTGGGAAATATGCAAATTAGAAAACCCACGAGCGAAATTTTTTCGAAATGTATTAAAAATAGATGAATTCGGCTGAATGAATTTTTCCATTACTTAAACACGTGTATCGTTTCCTCTGTACGGTAATTATTTTTAACTTGGACGAGAGCCGATATTAATTTATAAATCGAATTAAAAACAGTTTTGTATTGAAGGCGAAAAAAGGGAAACGAAGAGTTGCGATTGAATTCGTAATTTTAAAAACTTCGACGGTTCACGTTTAGTCGTACCTACGACGATAACAACATCGATCATATTACAAAACGACTTTCAAGATTTATGTACCACACTTAAAACGTTATAATCGCGAACAGGTATTCGGTTTGCGAGGAAACAAAAGGCGTCATAATCGACTGTCGAGAGACGCTGATCAGAAATCAATGTTTAATGGTATTCGTATTCGCGCGTGGAACAAAATCCATCCCAATGCGTGCACGCGGGATCCTTGAACGCTTAGTCTTTCGACCAGTGACATGTGCAGGAATTTGGTATGGAGGGGAGATGTCATAAATTAAAATGTATTATTTTCAATCTTTATTCTTTATTATTATACAAAAAAAAAAAAATGCAATCAAGGCGGATATACATCCTTCTGGCTTTTATACTGAATTCATAAATTATTTGTTTTGAAGATAATGGAATGTCTCGATGTATGTTCATTAACGCCAATCCATTTAACCGTGACTGCCCCGTCGTATTTCTTAAATGCGGTTTTAAACGTTAAGACTAAAAAAAAAAAAAACCCCCGTAGCCCATATATCCCCCATCATCACTTCCTGCGCACGCCACTGCTTCCGACCAATAATGATCAATAGTGATCTATCTCGGGGAGTTCTTGGAGGGACGGTTAAAGAATTAGGCTCTTTTGAATTGCCAACGACACATCGTCATTCTACAGGGACAGTACGCGGACAGAAATAATACTATGTACTTGCCTGCTAACGAGTCGGCTGCCATGGCCGCGGCCATGCTGAAGTTGAACGTGGCACCGGCGGCCGCGAAGAACTTGCTGTCCAGGTACGAGTGGTGGCTCTGGTACGACGTGTCGTCCGGCTCGGACATGCCGATGGCCGGATGGACGCCGGTGAAGTCGGCGGCCGAGTCGTTGCTGTCGTCCGCGTACGGTATGCTACTGTTGACGGCCGCGGCCGACGCGGTGGTGGTGTCCATCGGCTCGGACTTGACCTCGGGCGGTGACTTGCGCGATATTAGATTCTGCGCGGTGTCCTGCTGCTGCTGCTGTTGCACCGTCGTTTGGTGGTGCTGTATCGGGACCTGCTGGTGCTGGTGGTGCGTCCGCGAGTAGTCCATCGGTGGTTCGTCGTGGTGATGCAAACCGTTACTGTTGCCGTTGGTGCCGCCTCCGCCACCGCCGCCGCCGCCGCCGCCTCCACCGCCTCCGCTACCGTCGGACCGTTCGCCCGCATCATCGTCGTCGTTGCAGTTGGGCCGGCTGCCCGCCGAGCTGGGACTGTGTTGGGACGTTCTCTCGGAAAGGTCCATGCCGCCGGCGCCCGAGGACGGGTTCGACGACGTCTTGTTGTTGCGTTTCAACGGTATCGGCGAATTTTCCTGGGTGAACAGAAACCAAACGAAACGTTAAAAAACATACCGGGGATGGGGAAAAAAAAAAAAAAAAACAAAAAATCGCGGTCGACGAGCGGTAAAATAATCCGACGGACGGTCAAAGCGAAACCGACGAGACCCGCGCCGTTGTAGGCACAGTTTATGAGTTATCGATTTCGTGTTGAATACGATCAGGTCGAACGGGATCGTTATTCCACCACGACCGTAGTAATTTCCCGTAAAATTTGACAAAAAGTGTGCTGCCGATTATCGGCGCGCACAAACCGTAGAAGACAATATTACTTGTCCCGTTCATGTCGGTATTGTGCGATCCGCGAGAATTGCTATGCGCTACAGCTCTTCACTTCGATACGTACGTATATAGACTATATAATACACATTCCGAGGAAATCAATGCAAGAACTTTGACCCATTACGCTTTTTGGCGATATTTCGCAGCGCAATTTATACACGCGGGACGAGAAATAAATATATGTATATACGATTCACTTAGCTCTTGACCCGCCGGAAGGATCGCAAAAAGTTTTACTACGCACGTTTAGAGCTGACAGTACATCATGTTTTGTGATGAATATAATAAATCCTTTAGCAAGCACTCTGTACGATTATTATACGTTAAGGTTTTCATCACATTCGACATTTTTGTAATTCTTTTTTTTTTTTTTTTTGTAAAATGCGTAGTAATACTAAACGCTGACGGACCGAATTGAACACGTCATGTTTTCACGCGATTCACGTTCGACTATTTCGTGGGATAATTTGATGAAAACCAAAAAAGTAAAATAGTAATTGGCTTTTACCGGAATTAAGTTTTACGCACGCGGGTGCATAATTCCCATGAACGATGAACGGGGTTGGATTTTAGTATTTATATGTGTACGCAATAGTATACGGAAAAAATATTAAAATAAATGTATATCGACGCGCGCGCGTACTATTTGCTTTCGAAATACATACAAATTTACATATACAGGTATTACGTTTGTTATTGTTTACTCCGGTCGTTTCTGTTTTCCGAAAATTTTGGATTATTTCGTCCAGGTATAAACGCTGGTCGCAATGTACAGTTGAAACCACACCGCGCACTAAGTTCTTTCTACGCGGCCGTCATCCGGTCAACAATTTATCGGATCTATAAAGATGAATATTTTTCGGTCATTCGAAAACTAATCGGTTCACAATGTTATGGGTTTGCGTGTGTTATAATTATGTGTTAAACGGCACTTTGAAAATTCGTATTAAAATGCGAACATTGACTCACGATATTGTACAAAATGAATATTTTACTATTGAATCGATACGATACAATGTAATATCAGGTGAAAATAAATAAACGCGTTGCAATATTTAAGTATTTCGTAACAACTTATATATTTATTATTTTTTGTTTTTGTTTTTTCCCCGTTTTTGTTGTTGTTGGTGTTTTTACTCGGTCAACGGTGTGTTGAAATGAGAGAGGAAAATAATTAAGAAGTTTCGTTATTTTTTACTAAGATTTCACCAAAGAGGTCCCGAAAACACGTAAAACAACAAAAAAAAAACGGCATTATATTGAACGTTTTCCCGGTAAAGTTCCATGACGAAAAATACTTTCAGTTTTTTCCCCTATACTATCTAAAAGTTTATATATACATATATATATATATATAATATTTATATTTTCCTTTTGCACCACTTTTGTTAACCATCTCACTATGTGTTCGATTTATATGGGATCATTTCTTTTAGTGCATCAACATGTGTTTTTTTTAACCCTTTTCGACCATGGAAACGAACTCCGTCACTTATTTATATGTATTTATTATACGAAATAAACGTAGGTATATAATATATATATATATATATATATATATATATATATATATATATATATATATATAAATATATATTAGGGTGGTCCTTATTTTTTAACTTTCAAAATATCGACCCAGGTACCCGCCATTTTGTACATTATAATCAGGGACTAAATTTGGTCATGATAACTCACTCCTTTCCGTGCCTCAAGAGGGTTAAAAATTTTTCATATAGGGTAGCTTTGTAGTTTTGTTAATTTAACTCAAAAACTATAGTACCTACTCAGCGAAAAAATGCATAGAATGTTAATTATATATTTTAATAATGCTCATAAAATATTATTTAAAAAAATTATTGTAAGTCTGTAACTTCCCAAGAAAAATAGTAAAATACAAAATATTTTATTTATTTTACAAAATAGATTTTTTATATTTACTCAAGTGTATTAGATAAAATATTAAAAAACACGAAAAAATGTCTTACATAAAAATCGAATAAAATTTAATATCCTAAAGAAGGTGATTATTAAATTTTCAGTGGATTAAATTAATATTTGGATTATATAAAATAATAATTTTGGAAATAATTGTTTAAAGCAAATACGTAGAAGATATATAAGATTTATCATTATTTTCATTAATAAGAATATTTATTTGGTGATAACCATGTGTTGAAAACTATTTATAATCACTATACTTTATCATTATCAATATTGTTGTCATTAAATACCCATCACCAAAATAAAATTAGCCAACATGTTTAATTTTCTGTTATTCACCGAGTGTACGGCGATTTAACCATAGTTAAACAAATAGTGATTGTAGTAGTGTTCATTGTAGAATATTGTTTAATATTGTTCTTATATAATGTTTTATTTTACATATTTAATTATATTAAGACAATTAATTTTCTTGATTGGTATTATGAAAAATCAAATAAATTGTAGTAAACTTTCATCAAAAAGAGATATTTTGAACGTTCTCTTTTACAAAATGCTTTTAGTTAAACTAACAATACACGATAGCGCTAGTCTTGTGTTTGATGAATGCCAAATTTTTTGGATGAAAGTGCGTATACCTATTCAAGATCGATCAAATTATATAACTAAAATTAAAAAGCTCTATGACGAACAGAGAAAATCAGATAAAAAAAATACTGATACACAAAAAAAGTTATAAATACGTTTAAAAACAATTTAAATTACTTATGATTTACTATAAATGATTTATTATTTATAATTTTAGATTGTTCAAGATTATAGGAAGCAATACCCGGGATTTAGTCATGAAGTTTTAAAACAAACTTATAATTTATAATTTAAATACATTTGGACGTAGTCAATAGGTTATATAATAAAATTAATTAATAAAATACAATTTTATTATAACTGCTATAATATTAGCATAACTTACATAAATCCGGCTATTACAAATTATATTTTTTTCAGGAAATTAAATTTTATTCGATTTTTATGTAAGAAATGTTTTCGTATTTTTATTATTTTATCAAACAAACTTGAATAAATATAAAAAATGTATTTTGTAAAATAAATAAAATATTTCGTATTTTACTACTTTTCTTGGAAAATTACATACTTACGACAATTTTTTTAAATATATATTTTATGAGCATCATTAATTAACCTTCTATACATTTTTTCGCTGAATACTATAGTTTTTGAGTTAAATTCACAAAACTACAAAATCACCCTCTATGACAAATTTTCAACCCTCTTGAGTCACGGGAATGGGGTGAGTTGTCATGACCAAATTTAGTTCCAATTACTTACGGATTATAATGAAAAAAATGGCGGGTATCCGGCCAAAGAATATTTAAAAAAAATTTCTTCTTGTATAACTAAAGACCACCTTAATATATATATATATGTATAATATAATAATAATAATAATATATGACTTTCGAGTGGATAAAACGCTTCAAAAATGGTTGATAATCAACTGATGATCCACGATTTGAAAGATCGTTAACCTCCAGAAACGATGATTTTGTTGCGAACATTTGTTAAAAAGTGCGAAATTACCACAAATTAGCCATTATTAAATTAGCAACTGAGACGGAGGATCTCACTTGGAATTTCAATTTCAATGAAAATCTTAATTGAGTCTAATTATGAAACTTCAATAGAAAATTTATAGATGAGAAGTATCGTTGCTAAATTCATTCCACGATTGATGATATTCTTCATTATAAATTTATATCTCATGAATAGTCAATTAGATATTCTATAAAGACATATTAATACGTTTGCGAGACAGAAATAGTAAAAATAGCTAAAGTTAATCTAAGTTTCTTCACCACCTTTTTATAAGGGAAGAAGGGATGAACTTCATACGCGTATTCACATTTATGTATTTTCCTAGTTCGATATGAATAATAAATAACAACATTTTGAAGAAAAAAATGCAATGGGGGCGACTTCCACGTTCGCCTCCTTACTTATGAGGACATCATTGTTTAGCGCTGTTGGTTCGTGAATTTTTGGTGAGATTAAATATTCACTAAAAGAAAACAGTTTCAAGATATAGAGGAAATTGAAGTGAATAATATGACAAAAGAACTTAAAACTTTAACATTGAACAAATCCAAATAACCTTCGAAAAATGGCATGATTGTTGGAAGCACCGCATATCATTCGGAAGAAAGTATTCTGAATCATGTATCTTTAAATAATATGTAATTTCATTTTTGTAATTATTTAGAATAAAGTCATGGTATTTTTTGAGAAAATTTCGTATGTATAATATACGAGTAAGTGTACGTTCATTTGTAAGACGCGTTTTCTCCGTTAACTTTGACAATTTTATAATACATATACTAAGATCAAGACGTATACCAAGTTCGGTGGATTTCGCTATACTATAAGGGAAGCTATTTTAAAACTCTCTAACTTCACTGTTCAACCTACCGCTACCCAAAAGGGTCATTATTGATACGGTCGCTTCTCCGAGAATGTCCAATTGAAACAGTAAAACATCTGTAATTGCCTGTCGTCTTTGTGCACATGCACACACGAGCACGCGCGAACGGTGAAAGGTCACTCATTTACGGATCCCTTCTGCGTGGCAAAGGCAACGGTCCACCGACATCAAAAACGCAATACACCGAGGTGCAAATTTCGGGTAACAACGTGATAACGAAACGATTTACGTATATTCGGTCGAACGTTCAGGATTTGCACGTACATATAACTCCATTGCTTTATAAATGCCAAATGGTTCAAACGCGAAAAATCAATGAAGTTTTACGCTGCATGATTGTTGTGGATATTTTATTTTTATTGTACATTACTTCAATCGAATCTCTAGGTACACCGGACGATCTAAATATGTCAAGTTTGCAACACACTGAAGTACAGGCTTGTCGCTACAATTCCGGGTGGTCCCTCATCCAGAAACTGGTAACGGCACTTAATCGCAACGTCGAGTCGTTTCACGCTCGTGTGGCGCTTATTATACGAAGAAATGTATCCGTACGATATTGTGAATTCCGAATCGCGGAATTTATTTGTTCTCTCCGTGTACACGTTTTTGCACGATATTGTCCTGATGGAAAGTGTACGTTTTTGTTTACCGTAGGAACACGTGTAACACACGTATACAACAGTGACGATTTAAAAACCGTTCGACATTTTTTTTTTCCTTTCACGCGGTGCGCCCATCGGTTTGGTCGAGTAATAAAAAAAAAAAGTCAACGTTACAGAAATAATAATTTTAAAATCTGAGGTAAACGTTTATTTCAACCGTTTTCGTCGTATATTATCTTCGTATAATTTTAATCGAGTAGGTACTACGTAATATTATATCGTTGTACTTATGTAAATATACGCACACATCACCGGAAATTAAAGAATTTAAGTGCATTTAGCGCGTTTTTGAAAACAAATAAAAATAAAAAAAGGTGCTGACGTAGCGCGTTCTCGACATTCTCTTTTCGTAGTATAAGCTTGTCATACGCTCGGTCAGGTTGCGGTAGCAAACCGGGAAAACAAGTTCGACCGACTGTCGGCGACAACCGCCACGGGCCCTACGATACCTATGATATTTGAACGGTGGAGAAAAGTTGTTCAAACGTGTAAGACTACGGCAATAAGTTATGACGTGAGGTTTCCGCAGTACATCCGATTCGTTAGGTTTTGGTGTGTAAAAACTATCGCATATCGCGATGATCTGTGTACAGATATACGGTACCTTGTCCGAAGTACACGCGCGTTCGTACAAATATAAACCCTTAAAACCGCCGAGGGTCAAGACGTCAGATTATGTGATAACACGGTTAAACGGTAGCAATACAACGACAACCGCGGTACCGATAACACTTCACATTCGCGCGCATCGATTTAACCGTCGTCGGTATATTATTGTTCGTTGATCGATTAATTTAAGCCCGTTGAATCTCCCGGACGGTTTAATACTCCCATAACACCACGTCATTTCGTTCCTAATCAAAGGTTTCCGAAAAGATTCGCCGTATTCACCGATACATGTGGATCTAACAATTTTATATTGTATCCGTTCATTAAGTATATCGAACGCGAAAATTGATTTACAAATGCATTGTTATTTTGGTGAATACGATTTTACGGAAAGAAATTAGGGACTCAATGTTTTGTACACCTGCACAATAAGAGTTCGGTAACACTTGAGCGATCTATTATCGAGTCCGAAGTTTCACTACATCACTTCGATATCCGTGCGCGGAACCCTCAAAAACGGTATACAAGTCGGACACGAGATGAAATATGGGCAGTATACGGGTGAATGATCAGTTGGATTTTCCCCAGGCGCGAAAACCGATTAACGTGCAATAAGTATATGTTCGTAGGGCTTACCTTTGAACGGGGCGAAGGTATGGACGACGGCGATTGCTGCGGGAATCCTTTTCTCTGTCTGACGTGCGGCGACACTCTGCCCTCGGCCGCCTGTGCGGCGAGCGACAGGAACGTGTTCTCCGCTGGCGGCGTCTGCGAAGACTGTCTTGCGGAATGCTGAAATCATAAACAACACGACGACGGTTACATCGACCAAGGGATGCGAGTCCGTGTACACGTACCGAGACCAATCAACCTCGTCGTTGACGGGCGGCGGTGTGATGGGTAGGGGAGGGAATAAGGGAGAGCCTGTGTACGAGTTAGTGACGGAGTATCGTCGCGGAAAGAGGAAAGCCAAAAATAAATGGACGCAACCTGGAGAATGTTTGAAAAAAAATCTGAGGCTATAAGAATATCGAGTCGAGAAGATCGTCGAATATTTTAAAAGGAACGTGAAACGAGCTACGATTTAGAGGGGTAAGAGTCGAACGATTTTAACGAGAGAATGTCACGACCGGCCGAGTAGGAGAACGTTATCCGCGTGCCGTTTACGTTTGCTACCTGTTATTATAGCGATCACGCGATAGGCTAATACGGCCGCTCGAGTGTGTACATAAGTACCGTGTTCGTTGTTGTCACCACGTGCGGTACTGATGTGGTCTCTACAATACGGACACGGATTAGTACGGTTTCCGAACTTAACGGACACTCGTACGTATTGTGTTCACGGGATTATCCGGGGTAAGAACAACGAAAACAACTGTTTGCGTTCGCAAAAAAACAGAAAAAATACGGTGTTTCAGAAAGCTTGGATACAAACCCCCCGAACACTTGATTGCACGGATACGTGTATTGTGTAATCCTAAAGGAAAACACGAGATTTAACGAACGACAAAAACCGTTTCGTTGTAAGCATCCATGCTATCGACTTAAACGGACACGACAAATTATAACGGCTTATTGTTTTATAGCGCGCGGTGGCCATCCCTTATCGCGGCGTGCAGAGGGCTGGCACGTTAATTTAATTTTTTTTTTAATTTTCGAAGGTAAAAACTTTTTACCATCCTTGAGCGCTTTAAATCTCCACGTGTACCGCGCCACCGATCGTTTGTCGTGCACGGGGTGTTTCGGCCGATACCTGTGGTATATACGACGGAAAACCTGACCGGTTGAGGTAAGTCAAGGTTTTCATAAAGAGCGAGGGATGAACAATGATTGATCGGGGGAAATACGCGATATGGCTGCCGGCATTATTTGAACGATGAAAATTATTTATGTGAACGATCTATCGTGTTATGATGCGGTGATGTGTTTTTAATACATAATTGGTACATGAATATTGTATGTATACTCACGTCGTTGGCTGACGAGTCTGACGGCTGCGTGAGCCCGCTGACCCTGAGCACTTCGGCGGTCTTCAGGAACGAACTCAAGTTCCTTTGGTGAACGTTTACTTCGCCGTGGTAAATGAACTCAACCAGTGCTTGCAAGTCGTCGAACACGACGTCTTGCAATACGATTACCGGGTGTTTGCATGGCGTGCTCTGTGCAAATCAAACACAACGTTCGGGTATATTTCAATAAATTTGATGTAATTTTATACATTTATATAATTTTAATATAATTATTTTTTTGTTCTTTGACAGCCCCGCATCGTCCGTTATAAATTCGATAAATATTTACGCTATACGTTATAACGATATCGCATACGAGCGTAATATAATATTTTAGAAACATATCCCGTTATTATTATGTAATTTGTTTATATATGTGTATAAATGTATACGCAGTGGATTTTCGTCGATACGGGGAACCGGGAAGGGCTCGAAAACACAGTCGTTTTATTTTAAGACTTATTTAGTATATAGTTGCATTATCGAAGTGCAATAATAGTTTCAACGAGATTTCGATTTAATTGAAGTATCCACATACCTGCAGAAAATACTGCGCCCATAAAACGGGGATGTTCGCGTTTAAGCGGGTCGGACGTAATAGCCGTGTTATTCGTATATTTCGTATCAAGTTCATTGACGGAAAGCGTGAGGGGCGGGTTAGTAACGAAAAGTTTTTACATCCGTACGGAGGGCTTTAAACACGCGTAACTACCCTCGACGATAGGAGAAGGTGTTGGCGTTATCATCTCGAGCGTTACAACATTCCTGCGACGGAGCACGGGGACGTGAGGTTTACGTGAACAAACGTTGGAAAAAAGGTCGACACCGATGCGACAATGCGGAAGTAATCGTCGGGAACGCAGAGGCGAATATTTCGATATTACAATAAATTGCGATGAATAAATGAATAAATATCGTACAGGACGCAACGACTCACTTTTAACAGCTCTCTGAAGTAGGGACTGCACGCGGACAGGACCACTCGATGGGCCTTCAGACTCTTGCCGTCGCATGCTAACGTCACGTCGATGAAGTCTTCGTCGTCCCTCAGGTTCTCGAACGCTGTGGTAATGCTGTTCTGGTAGTTGTTCCAGCGCAGGCAGAAATGCTGCAGGTCGCCCATCACGCGGCGGGCTTCGGCTGACACAGTAGTCCCGCCTGCAACCGAGAGGTGAAGAAAAAAATGACATTAGTTTTATCGTGATACACTCATGGCCGGACAACGGGACGAATCGAAAGGGCCGGTGACCGGAAACCCTTATACACGATCGTTTCCGCCGCGGCACCGACGGCACACCGTTACCAAGGTTATGGGAACACGCGTTCGCGGTCTCTCGTTTCCGCGAAAACAACAGTTATTACGACACCGCGGTCGGCGGGGCAGGTGTTACGCTGTCGGTCGTTTTCCCGCGCGTTTTCCGCCGTTATCACGCCCCTCCCGTCGGCGGACGACAACAAAACATCGTGGAGGATGACGAGGTTTGCACAGGGGAGGGAGGACACGGCGATAACGGACCGCCGACGACACGCGCGAGTTCTAAGGAAAACGCGCACGCACGATAGGCGTGTCGGCGGACGAGGAGGGGAGGCGTTTATCGCGGGTTGGCGGGGTGGGGTGATGTTGTTGGTTCGTGGGGGGTCATCTCGCCGAGACGCTCGTCATCGCAACGCGACGGGCGGGGAGGAGCGACACGCTCGATCGGTCGGCAAACCGTTCCGGGGCGCGTTTAGTTTCGGCGCGCGCGTCACGTTGGCGCGCGCGGCCGTGTCACCGCGGAATCGGCGAACAGGTGGGCGGCCGGGCCCGGTCGTCCGCGGGACACGACGTACGACCGCGATACGCAAAACGTACGTTAGACTCGCGGGCACGCACGTGCGTGGCGACGAACACACACGTACACGGCGGGAGCGAGTGGCGGCGCGGCGCCGTGACCGCGTTCCGGCGCCGGCCGTGGGGAGGGCTGGGTGCGCGGGAGAAGGTCGCACGGGACGGGACAGGGGCGCCCCATTCAACCGACCGACCGGCCGGCACACGTACCGCGCGCGCACGCAAACGTGTTGGCGGCACACGCACACGCACACACACACACGGCGCGCGCACACGCGGACACGCGGACACGCGGACACACGTGGTGTACACACGCGCAAGCGGAGGCGCCGCGACTGCACGCGTGCCGCGCGCGGTGGACGGCGGCGGTCGAGCGTTACGAGGCGGATCGTCGTGAAAACCGCGTAGACGTGCGAACGTGATGGCACCCGGCGGCGCGCACCCGGACGTTGTCGCTGACGAACACGCGGCGCACGTCGACCACCGTCCGCGTCGCGGCCAACAATATTATTACGTAAACACGTCGTCCGGCGGTTCACCGGTCGGAAATCTGTCCGCGACGACCACACATTTTCCCGTAACATATTATTACTATCAGCGTACGCGTTACACGTTTTTACTCACTTACCTATACTTTTACTGGCCGGCGATCGGGTGAGAAGATCGTATCATCGGTGACCGGCACACGGCCGCCGCAGGCATGCGGAGCGTGTACGACATGTGTGTGTGTGTGTGTGTGTGTGTGTGTGTGTGTGACGAGTACACGATGACACGAGGGTGAGAGAAACGACGAAAAAGCGAAAAAAAAAAAAACGAAGAAACAAAATATATCAACAACAAGTCAGTTGTAATTGGTAATTTTTTTTTTTTTTTTTAAGATGATTAAACGTCGATAATTACTTAATTAAAAAAAATAAAATGGAAATTGCGTTTTAATTAATTAAATTATTTTTAATTTTTTTTTTAACAATGCGCCCGAGCGTATGATAATTTTTAAGTGATTGTCGCACGATTCGTTTATTTTTTCTACGAGTGTTGAACTAAAAAAAAAAAAAAACAAAAAAAATAACAATCACTTCGTACGGCAGCCGAATGCCGGTGATAATTATGCGATATAACGGTAATAACAATAATAACTGTTGATGGTCGTGGTGGTGGTTGTGGTGGTGGTGGTGGTCGTCGTCGTCTTCGTCGCCGTCGTCGTCGTCGGTGTCTCGCGAGTAATGTGTAATATAGTAATGTGGTGCGTGCGAATCGCGTGCGTGCCCGCGGCGGTTGCGACGGAGATGATGCGGTTGACGAGAGCCCGCGCGGCGGAACTATAGACAACTCAAAAACATGACTAGCAATAAACTACTAGGGGGTAAAAACCGAGAAAGTAAAATTGCATATTCGTACAGTTTAATGAGAGAGAGTGGGTACCCCCGCACACCCGGCCTACTCGGCCCGGTCCGCCCACCCGCGCCCCGCCACCGCTCGACACTCCGCGCGTCGTGGCGGGCGTTTGTAACCGGAATTCGCACCGCACGCGCTCCCCCGCCCACCGCGCGGCCGCCGCGGCGCCGTAGACGTGGGGGAGTAGGCGGCAACCCCTTGATAAGGGAGCAGAGCGCGCCGGCGACGTAGAGAGCGGGTACGACGGCAGCGGCAGCAGCGGCGGCGGCGGCGACGACGACGACGACGACGAGCGAGAGGGAGCGAGAGAAGAGATCGAGTGCGAGAGAGTGAGTGGCGGCGAGCGAGTGAGTGAGTGATAGGGAGGAAGGGATAAAAGCAAAAGAGAAAAAAATCATTAAATTCGTCCGCGCGCCCTCCGCGAAAGCGGCCGCCCCCCGTGCCGCCGCTGCCGCCGTCCACCACCCCGCTTAGGCCGCCGCGCATGTGCCGCCGCTAAAAAATTTAATTCGTTTTAACACACTACTATAAATAGTGAACATTGTTATTCAACTTTCATTCCGTTTTGGTCCCCACTCGCACAGGATCCCCGGGAATCCCTCCGACCGTTCTCACCCCTTTCACGTCGCCTGCTCCTCCACCGCTGCCGCGCGCCACCTTACCCCTGGGGTATCGAGCACTTCGGCGTTTTTCGTCGTCCCCTTCGCACGCAGCGCGCGCCGCGTACATATATATTTATATGCCACCACCGCTCGCTTATTCGCCCGCGCGCTTATATGCCCCGTACACGCTGCGTCGGATGATGAGATGACGGGGTGCAGGGCGTGGAGGAAGAATACGCGCGGGTTCGTTCCCGTCCACCAGGCCTACACACACACACACGTATAAATATATGAATATACACACAGACGTACGCCGCACACCCGCACAACACGCGCACACCTCCACTGCCGCTTCCTTCTTCGTCGTCGCAGTCTCCACCACCACCACCACCACCACCACCACTGCGCTCACTCGTCGTCGTCATCGTCGTCATCTCTTTCCTCTTCGGCTTCATGTCCTACACACGACCAATGACAGAGCGGTGGCGGCGGTGTCGTTCTCTCATTTTACTAGGCAAATGTAATTTATGAGCGCCGAATCAATACCGAACGCGGGTCGGAAGCTGAGGGCTCACGCGCGCCGTGATCAGAGAGTGGTAGCGGCGGCGGCGGATGAGAAAAGAGTCGGAGAAGAGAAAACGAGAGTACGCGGGTAGTGGAGCTGAACGCGGAAGGGGTAGTGGGCGCGCGCCCCAGAGGGTGCGACGAGGCTGTAAAAAATGTAAACCTACCCAGATTTCTCTAGAAAAACCACCGTCACATCGCGAGCGCTCCGCGGCCTATACGCGCGCGGCTCCTCGTCACGGCAGGGGCGGCGGTGGCCGTTTCTGCTGCTGCCGTTGCGGCAGGTATACGCGGCGGTGAGTAGGAATCCCTTTTACGCCGTGCCGTTTTTCTCTTCTCCCGCGATGGCGACAGCACGCTTAAAATATTATTCCGTAAATCCTCGATTGGTATATATTATTATTATTATTATTATTATTATAACCACCGCCCTACCCCGATGATTTATCGCCTTGTCTCCCGTTATTACCGAACACGTATACATTTACACGTACGGCCCAGCCTTCGCCCCATTGCGGTGTTATGATAACGGATCGTGATAACTATAATTATTGTCATTGCAATGTCGTACGTCCCCGACGTAATCGTTTTAAATTGATCGGTGAGAAACACCACGTTAGCCGGATGCACGTGCCACGAAAGAAACCGCGGTCGTCGTTAACTGTAATATCTGCGCGTAGTGTTAACGAATGCGGAAATACGTGTCCGACGAGAGGGAAAACGATATCGAACGGAATTCCCTTCGAGCGCGCACACACTTTTCTCCCCGCACCCTCCGAGGAACGTTTTCCGCATCTGACGACGTAGGCGATTTTTCCGTGTCGAACAAGTGGCGATTTTCTTTCGACAAACGTCCGCGGACGACGATCCGTTAAAAAGTGGTCAACACGTACGTGCGCGTACGGCAACGGGCTCGAAGGTATATTGTTGTTAATATTCAGCAGGCCGACGACACCTGATCCTGTCAGCAGGGATGAAAGTAAAACTTGTCGCGTTGCGTACGGGGTAGTATAATAATAATAATAATAATAATAATGCGTACCCAGCGGCGCGGTGTTATTACGCGGAAAGCTTTTGAAAAATATTCTGAGAAATCCGGAAGAAGATTTTTCGACCTTAAACGCGCAAACGTGTTTTACACGAACACATCGTTTTTTTTATTATTCGTTCAACCAACTTTGTACGTACACATACGTATGCGCGATGGAGTGACAATAATTGGTTGATATCTGGTGTAGAGTAGCCTACTATTTAGTAGGAATGTTCTTAAAAAACAAAAATCGTATGCGAGTTTAAGCGTTAACTAGCCAATGAAATAAATTTCATATTATTGTTATGATTTTCTTTCCTCTACTCGTTTTAATTTATTTATTTATTTTTTAATTAACACCGTAGGAAAACGGAACTGACGGAGTATAATAATTTCTTTTAAAACAATACGATTCGGTATATATTTATTTAATTACAAATAAACCTTATTCAGTTATGTATAAATTTGTTTTCGAGCTTTAAATTAAAAATTCTCACTTTTGATTAAAAATAAAAGCGAAAGTGCGTTCTAGCGAATTCGTCAAAAAGAATATTGTACCGCAGTGACGTAAATGTTCGAAATCAGTCCTTTCGGTTTTTACGTTATAAAATTTCATAGGAGGGTGTGGAAAATCAATAATTAGAGAAAAACGTTCGGCATAATATTATGACTTGTTCTAGAACGCGGGGATATTTCATTTTTGGGTTGTTGTTCTCGATTCTATTGAACGGCTCAAAAACTCTACATTAAAATTATATTCATTATGTGTTATATTAATATAAATAAATAATATAGAATTTGAAAACTGATGTGTAAATAGTGTTTCGGCAATGGCATCGTTAAAAAATGAGAGATGAATTATATAGGTAAAAAAATGAAAATGAATATAAAAAAACCCCGATTTAGTATCAAAAATTATTAATACAAAAAATTACAGTTAATACTATTACAAGGAAATTAATTTTTAATTCGAAAACGTGTCTAATTAAAAGAACAGTATTAATTTAGCAAATTTATTTAAACCTTTTAGTTTTTTGTTAAACACGAAAATAACATTTCCAACTACTTATAAATTTACAAGTAAGTTTAAGAGAAAAAAAATCTGTTCAAAGTTTTCTTTCAGAAATAATCTTTCCGGAAAAAGAAATCCAAATTTTTTTTTCTACGTTATACTATTTTAATGGCCTTTAGACATTTACACATTTAATATTATTCGGAAATTAATGCGAATGCGAACGGTTTGAATAAAAAACGATACCACTCGATTTTTCATTTTTAGTTACACAATACGTGCAGTGATACTTAATCGCTTAGGGTTAATAGGAGGAATACGTTTTTAAAATGTTGCGGTTCAACTTTAAAATCGTACTGTGTGTATTCCGATTCTATGAACATAATAATAAGACAACCAAGTGGAATTTTCGATTATTATCGAGTAAAATACATGTGCGAAACGGTGAGGTTTAA